TGGGTTGGTCAAAGTTGGTTATTTTGTCATACCGCATTTTGTTGTTGTTTACTTAATCACAAACCACATAACCACATAACCCGATAACCACCTTATCGTGAACAGCCTAATTATGAAGCATATGAGATATTTAAAAAGTAGCTCTTATTTGTACATTAACTATAAATATTACTTTGAAAATAGCATAATTAAATTATAATGTTATTAATTTTGAATAAATTTAGAAAAATTCGCAAAATGATACTCATATCAATTAATATAATTGCATATAAAAGTATAAAAATATAAGCAAAAGGTCAACATACGTTTGTAAAAGCAATGTATATTTCTGAGCATAATTTTTATTGAATGCTCAGCTCTGTTCACGCGCCACTGTCAATATTTCTCCTTCTGAGCTTGTTGTGGTGAAACACGCTCATCGCATTTTGTTTTGTAGCCAAAATATTTTCCTTTCACCGCGCCGAGAAACTTCTATGATATACGTTTTCTGCTCGCCATCTTCCTTCACTTTGTGTCTGCTATATTTTGAGGCGAGTTTATTTCTACGGTCTGTTTTGCTGTAAATAATGTCGCCTGTCTTATATGTAATCGTTTTTATTTTTGTGGTGATAATCTAATACCTTAATTCGTTTTTGTTGAAGAATATCCCCGATGTCGGGATATTTTTCTCCGTTGAAAAATACGTGCTCGGGTATATAGTCTGTTGATGAGTGAATAGTTCTATTGTATTGGAGGACGGCGTTATAAATTTCTTTACTTGGCGCGGTTTTGTTCTGAACTGCTAAACTTTAAACTAACTCAATTAGTTTACCGTGTAAACGTTCGACTTGTACGTTCTTCGTTGAATGATGCACTGGGGTAGCTGAGTGCGTTATTTGTAGTCGATTGTATACGGATTTGACAACATTTGAGTTAAATATACTTTCGTTATCAGTCATGAGATATTTGGCGTTCGGGAAAACCTATGTTATTATTTCTTTTATTGATTCATGGCAGTCTATCTTTGTGTGAAGTTTACGTAGATAACAATATTTAGTATACCTATCTATAGAGCTAAGATACTACATATGCGTTGTTAATATGAAATATATCAATTTGAATGTACTCTCTCACATGCGTTGGTGTTGAAGTTCTTATTATTGGCTGTTTATTTGGCTGCTGTTCGTACTTGTGTTGTAGACATATTTCACATGCCTCTGCTACTTTTTTACACATATTCATAAGGTTTGCCCAAAAATGAGTTAACAATATTTCTTGAGTTGTTTTTACAATTTCTGTGTGCACGAATATATAATATATCTGTGTGACTATTTCTTGTTGTTCATTTTCAGAGCTTACATCTGTTAATAGTTTTTGAGCTAATACAAAGTTAAAATTTGGAAAACTAGTGAAACCTTTGCCTTTTAAAGTATTTCTTCTTCTATATTCAACGCATTAGTAAGCTTTGATTTTATAACATCTCTAAGTTTAACAAATAAAACCGCTGTATTTTTAAAAAATATTGTATGTCTGAATCGACTAGGAAAAATTGTTTCAGTCAGAACTTCGTCTATTTCATTGTTTTGCAGTAAAATTATTTGATTCCTGAAGCAATTAAAAGATTGTTTAACTCTTTTTATAATTTCGTTTGGTGAACAATCTGTAGTATTATTGATTTGTTGACGCGAAAGAGCATTTGCTACAATATTCTGGTAACCAGGTTTATAAACTAGTTTGTCATATTGGACTTGGCACCACATACTTTAATAATATTTTTCCAGCGTTTTTGTTTTGTATTGCAATTTTTTTTTTCAGAAATAGAAAAAATCAAAGATTGGTGATCGGTGTAAATTGTTATATCTGCTACGCCGTATAAATAATTTCTTAATTTTTGTAATGACCATACAATAGTAGCTCTTTCTCATTGGTGCTATAATTTTGTTTCACTTAGTGTACGTGAAATAAATGCGACTTTTTGACGATTTTGGGCAGAACTGCAACAATAACAAAGTTGCTTGCGTCTGTTGTCAAATTGAAAGGTTTGGAAAAATCTGGTTCAAATAG